CTGGGGATATATCCAGAGGACTGGAAAACATCATGTCAAAGGGATACCTGCACTCCCATGTTTATTGCAGCTCTATTGACAGTAGCTAGGTGATGGAACCAACCTAAATGTCCATCGATGGATGATTGGATAAGGAAATTGTAGTATATATACACAATGGAATACTACTCAGCCATAAAAAGGAATGAAATTCTACCATTTGCAGCCACATGGATGAGTCTGGAGAAAATTATTCTAAGTGAAACAACCCAGGTACAGAAAGAGAAATACTGCATGTTCTCACTCATAATTGGGAGCTGAATCCATAAATAAACAAATGAACAATAAAGAGAGACAGATAGAAAGAAAGAAACAACAATCACAGTAATACATAGAACTTTTAGAAAACTGGAGGTGGAAAAGGGGAGGGAAAGGAGAGAGGGAGTGGGGCTGATGAGGAATTGGTCAGTGGACACAAAGAATGATTACATATTATAATGATTAATAAGATAACTATACTGATCTAACCACCATGCATTCTGCACAATTATTGAAAATCAACATTTTACCCCACATGTATGTATAATAAAAGATTAATTAATTAATTAAAAACTGAAATCATTTCAAGTCTCTTTCCAGACCACAATGGATTAAAGCTGGAAATCAATAACAAGCAAAATTCTGGAAACTACTAATACATGGAAACTAAGCGACAGGCTCCTGAATGACTTATGGGTCCGAGAAGAAATTAAACAAGAAACCAAAAAATTTCATGAAACTAATGAAAATAAAAGATACATCATACCAAAACCTGTAGGATACAGCAGAAACAGTATTAAGAGGGAGGTTTATTGCAATAAATAACTGTGTCAAAAGAATAGAAAGATTTCAAATAAACAACCTACTGCTATACCTTGAAGAACTAGGAGAACAAGAACAATCAATTCTAAAAGTAGTAGATGGAAAGAAATAATTAAGAATAGAGCAGAACTAAATGAAATAGAGACCCAAAAAATGATATAAAACATCAGTGAAACAAAAGTTTTGTTTTTTGAGAAGATAAATAAAATAGACAAGCCATTAGCTAGGTTAACATAGACAGACAGAGACAGAGGGAGTAAAGACCTAAGTAACAAAAATCAGAAATGAAAAAGGAGACATTATAATCAATACCATAGAAATACAAAGGATCATTAGAGACTGTTATAAACAACTATATACCATGAAATTTGAAAATCTGGAGGAAATGGATAAATTTCTGGGTATATTCTAACTCCAAGACTGAACCAAGAAGAAATAGAAAACCCGAACAGACCAATAAGAAGCAACAAGATTGAAGCACTAATCAGCAGTCTCCCAGCAAAGAAAGGCCCAAGACTGGATGGCTTTACTGCTAAATCCTACCAAACCTTTAAAGAGGAATTAATACCAGTTCTCTTCAAACTATTCCAGATAATTGAAACAGAGGCCACCCTCCCAAACTCATTCTATAAGGCCAGCATCACCCTGATACCCAAACCAGACAAAGATACATCAACAAAAAAGAAAACTACAGACCAATATCCATGATGAACACAGGTGCAAGTATCCTCAACAAAATATTGGCAATCAGATTACAGCAACACATCAAAACAATCATAAACAAATCAAAACAGTCAAGTGGGATTCATCGCAGGGAGGCAAGGATGGTTCAACATCCATAAGTCAATAAATGTGATACACCACATCAACAAAATCAAGGACAGAAACCATGTGATTATGTCAATAGACACAGAAAAAGCATTCAACAAAATGCAACATGCCTTCCTTGATAAAGCCTCTTGGCAAATTAGGTATAGAAAGAATATATCTCAACAGAATAAAAGCCATTTATGACAAACTAATTACCAATATATCTTTTATATTGCTTTTAAAAGGTTTTAGCTTTTCCTAAGACAAGGATGCCCACTCTCACCACTCCTGTTTAACACAATATTGGAAGTACTAGCCAGAGCATTTAGGAAGAGTAAGAAATAAAGGGCATCCAGATTGGAAAGGACAAAGTCAAACTGTCCCTGTTTGCAGATGACATGATCCTATATATAGAAAAACCTAAAGACTCTAACTAAAAAATCTCTTAGGACTGATTAACAATTTCACTAACGTTGCAGGATACAAAATCAACACCTCCAAATTAGTAGCATTTTAATATTACAGTAATGAACTAGCAGAAGAAGAAATCAAGAAAACAAGCCCATTTACAATAGACATCAAAAATATAAAATACCTAGGAATCAGTCTTTCCAAGGAGGTTAATGATCTCTACAGTAACAACTACAAATCACTACTGAAAGAAATTAAAAAGGACACAAAGGTGGAAGAACATTCTATGCTCTTGATTGGAAGAATTAGCACCGTTAAACATCCATACTACTCAGAGCTATCTACAGATTCAGTGCGATCCCCATGAAAATACCAATGACATTCTTCACAGAAATAGAAAGAACAATCTTAACATTAATACAGAACAACAAAAGACCATGAATAGCCAAAGCAATCCTGAGGGGGAAAAAAAATGCTGAAGGTATAGCACTACCCAACTTCAAATTATACTACAAAGCTATAGTAACTAAAACAGCATGGTACTGGCATAAGAACAGACACAGACCAATGGAACAGAATAGAAAACCGGAAGTCAGTCCAAATACTTACAGCCAACTGATCTTTTACAAAGGCAACAATTACATACATTGGAGAAAAGACTGCCTCTTCAATAAATGGTGCTGGGAAAATTGGACATCTGTATTCAAAAGAATGAAACTAGACCTGTACCTCTCACCGTATACCAAAATCAACTCAAAATGGATAAAGGACTTAAGTACAAGACCCAAAACCATAAAACTACTGAAAGAAAACGTAGGGGAAACACATCAGGAAGTAGGACTAGGCAAAGACTTTATGAATAAGACCCCCAAAACACAAATAACAAAAGAAAAAATAAACAAATGGGATTATATCAAACTAAAAAGCTTCTGCACAGCAAAGAAGCAATCAACAGAGCAGAAAGACAATGTATGGAATGGGAGAAAATATTTGTGAACTGTATGTCTGGCAGAGGATTAATATCCATAATATAAAAGGAACTCAAGCAACTTGACAGTAAAAAAATAAATAATCCAATTTAAAAATGAGCAAAGGAGTTGAATAGGCATTTTTCAAAGGAAGACATGCAAATGGCCAACAGGTACATGAAAAAATGCTCAATATCACTCATCATAAGGGAAATGTAAATGAAAACCACATTGAGATATCATCTCGCCCCAGTTATACTGACCAGTATTAAAAAGATCGGGAATAACAAATGCTGGCAAGGATGTGGAGAAAGGTGAACCTCCCTATACTGTTGGTTGGACTGTAAAATAGTACAACCATTATGGAAAATAGTATGGAGGTTTCTGAAAGAACTACAGATAGAACTACCATATGATCCAGCTGCTGAGTATATACCCAAAGGAATGGAAATCGTCATGTCGAAAGGATACCTGTACTCCCGTGTTTATTGCAGCTGTATTTACAATAGCCAAGATTTGAAACCAACCTAAATGTCCATTGATGAACTACTGGATGAGGAAAATGTGGTGTATATATATACACACACAATGGAATACTACTCAGCCATAACGAAGAATGAAATTCTGCCATTCACAGCAACATGGATGAGCTTGGAGAAAATTATGTTAAGTGAAATAAGCCAGACACGTAAAGAGAAATACTGCATGTCCTCACTCATAAGTGGAGGTATATTGGGACAGCTTGATCTGCTCTCCAGTCAGCACAGGATCACTCAGTGGAGACTGGTTAGGAACATAGAACTGCAGAGTGTACATTTTGCTGAAAAGACTCAGGCCCAGACCAGAGCTTCCACACAACCCAGGTGTACCACACCTCACGAGACCTAGAAGTGCTTACAAGGTCAACAATTAAAACCTGAGCTGCACAAAAAGCCTTCCACAGGGAATCAGCAGCAAAGCAGCAATTTAGCTCAACCACAGGTCTCAAGTGCTGGTTCCCCCATTTTAGAAGTAAACAAAGGATAACAAATTAGTTCCAGTGCAGAGTTTAAGTGGTGGGAACAGTGAATAATCCAACACAGAACTGAAAGAAAAAACAAAAACCAACAGCTCAGAGACAAAGTTCTGATATTAACTAGTAAAGGTCTAACACCACCAAAGAAAGCCTATAAAGCCTAGAAGGACTGGAAGCCCCCAAGGCTCCCAAGCCAAGGTGGGATGAGGGCCAAGGGCCTCAACCATGCCTCCCCAATGTCCGCAGATGTGATGACCACCAGGCTGCTACCAAATGAAAGATAAACAATGTAGCAACACAGAAAGTGGGTTTTTGCACAATCAAATGTTGCTGATTTCTACTCTTTCCCATGGTATACTGTATAATGTAATGAGTTTTTTTCAGTTGGCTGTCTTTTTGTATATCAGAATTCTCCTTCTATATAAATTCCCTTCTAGTCTGTCTTCTTGGCATGCTTTAAGATGGTAATTAGAATCTACTCTTAAAATACTATTTTGTGCTATGGATAGATTATTTGGCAGTTTCCTTGTGGATGGCAATTGCCATAAAACAGACTTTAAGAAGCCCATAAAACTTTAGACCTGAGAGAGGAAGACCAATGTGCTTCCCTATTTGCATGTCACCCCCACTACAAAGAATAGCTTTTTGTGATAGCTACCTTCTTGCTGTCTTAAAATATAGCATATTGTGCAGACCCCAGATCTGGGCTAGTTTCTAAACTAGTACTTTCCAAATTTAGATTCTTGAGAAAACAGGACACATAGGTAACTGTTATCTAAAAAGTTATCTAAAACAAAAATCAAAATGTGTAACATTATCATTTCTTTTTGACTACATAGCATTGGATGATTTCTCATTCATATAGAAAAGAACAGAATAAATCTTAAATTTTAGAATGTAATTACTGGACATTTTAACCTTATTAGAGACTTAAAGATACTTTATTTTCCCTTTAGGTGGTACGGGACTATAATCTTCAGCTGTTTTTACAAGAAAATGCTGTATTTCACAAACCCCAGCCCTTCCAGTTCCAGCCTTGTGACAGTGATACTGTAAGGAATTCCAGATTTTCATTTCATTTGTTGTTCTGTTATGCTTGGGCTCAAGTAACTATTATCCTTGGAATAGACAGAAAAAGCTGAGTGTATTTCATTAATTTTATAAAAAAAACTGTGAGGATACAAAGTAAGTATATTTCTTCTTTCTAAAATGTGGTTAACAAGGGCTGTCCGGTTAGCTAAGTTGGTTAGAGCAAGGTGTTATAATACCACGGACAAGGGTTCAGATCTACATACCAGCCAGATGCCAGGAAAATAAACAAATAATGTGGTTAGTATGTCTGGTGTCTTTATGGTAACAACTTTCTACTAAATGAGGTTAAATTATAATACAAGTTACTGAAAATCTGAAAACTGAGGGAAGAAGAAAATATATCCAATAAATTTATTCAAATATAAATTATACTTTCTGTCTATGAAATTCTTCATGTTACATGCTTCCAAAAAAACCAGTGGTTAAATTGTAACCAGAATAGAATTAATAAATAGAATAGTGAATATGTGCATGCACATATTTTGGTTGGCTTTATAAAAAATTACAGGCCTTTTATAATTTCTTTCAGATTTTTTAGATTGTTAAAGTACTAACATACACCCCAAATTAGCATTTTTTAAAGAGCAGAACTTAGTCATATATTTTTGTGTGCTTGAGTTTATTCTATGAGATATGCTTGCCATTATTTGAATTTTAAAAAAAGAACCAAAATGCTAATTTGGTAACATAAAAAATGAAATTTAACTTCTACAAAATGAGAAGGCACATGTTGGCATTACTAGACATTCTCTCAATGTAGGCAAGCCAAGAGGGAAGTCAAATTATACCTATAAGGTTTTTTGGCAAATTTAGAATCAGAACCAGGGGACTTTATAATTCCAGAGATTAATGGTATCAGTTTAATAGAAAAATATTTGCTAGAGATATCTTTATTACTTTTCATACATTTTTTGCTTAATGAGTTGGTGACATCCTAACAATTTGACTTGTTTGAAGCCTGGGAGGAATGTTCTAGTAGAGCATGAGAAGATACAGGGTATGGACAAGTTTGTAAAGCTTGACTTAATATTGTCACTAACTTGACATTATTTTAACTTTGTCCATTTTTCACAGAAAAATTAGAATAACAGAGCTGGTTGGTTAGTTCAGCTGGTTAGAGTGTGGTGCTGATAACACTGAGGTCTAAGTTTCAATCCTTGAAAAAATTGAAATTTTGGCCATCTACCAAAAAAAAAAAAAAAAGGTAATAACAGTGACTCTCATCTCACTTTTCCAAAGCCCAGCTATAGCCCTAAATCCTTCTTTGTATCTAGATACAGTGCTAAATATTCTTAGCTGTTGTGTCCCTGTTTACCTTAAAATTCTAACTCTATGCTGTTTTCTATCCTTGTGCAATCTTTACTGGGCAGAGTTTAAAAGCTGCCCAACTGGTGGATATTGAGCTCTCCCCTGTCAGTGCTCTGAGAATGACCATAGCTGAGGTATATGGGGGTGTGGGTCAAGGGTGGGAGGGGTGGGATGTGTGGGTTTGCATGTTAATGAAGGGTGGGACCTGGTGTTTGGGTGAAAGTCATATATATGTATAAGGGCCATCAGCTGTGGCTTTCTGTTTTTCCCTATAAATTAGGAATTTCCTTTCCTGTTTATAGTGAAGAGATTGAGGTTCTCATTTTTCATCTTGTCTGAAGCACCTTAATTTTCTTCAGCAAGGGTGATGGAAAGAACATTAGAGCTAATCTTGCCTTTATTAAAGGGAAACTGTAGCCTAGAAAGGAAAAGAGACTTGTCCAGAGTCATATAGTGAATTAATGACATATTACAGTTATGATTGCAATATTAATGTTATTTCTTCTATGCTGTTCTTTTTTCTGAGAAGAAAATTTTTTCAAAATGAAAAGAGATAAATGCCTATGCTTTTATGAAAATCATCCCAGATTGTCAACTATTGAAAAGTCTTTACGATAATGATTTTAAAATATTTTAACTACAAAATATTTTTGTTTGTAATTTTTGTTCCGTTGTAAATTTAGTATTCTCACTGCCCACAAAGACTAAAATCCCAAATAATTATTTTTATTCTGTATTGAGTAGTACAGAGGTAGAATGTATCAATAGTTTATTCCTCTTTGTGAGAATTGAGTTATTGTTTACTTGCTTTTCTGTTTCCCCTTGGAATTGGTAACACTAATCCTGTGGTGGAGTGAAGAGCTCCAATCAGTGCCTATTAATTCACCTTTCCTCCCAGTGAATCTAGGACATGGAGGAAGGACTAATTGCCTCTATCTTCAGCTGTATGTTTGAAACAACTTTTGTTCCTATCCTGTTTTAAAGCATATTTCAATTCAACAAACACTGAGCCCATATTGTACGTACCAGTCACTCAGTTAGATGCTGAGGATAGGTACAACATGCTAAACTACAGACCTCAGACTATATTAGCTCACTGACATATATACAAATAAGTAAAATATGATAAGGCATGTGCTGTATATGATAGAGTGCTGTTGGTGTCCAGTGGCTGGTATAAGCCATTCATCATTATTATGGTGTAAATTTTTTTTGCAACTTTGTCGAGGCATATAATTCACCCATTTCAAGTGTGTTCAATGACTTTTAGTAAACTTAACAAATTGTGCAACTATTATAAGTAAGTTTTAGAACATTTTCTTGGACCCAGAAAGACCCTCATTCTGTTTCTATTAATCCTCTTTCCCACCCCTGCCACAGACAACTTCTCTGTATAGATTTGCCTTTTTTAGACATTTCACATAAATTGAATCATACAGTATGTTATCTCTTATGTCTTGCTTCTTTCACTTACCATAATGTTTTTGAGATTCATTAATGTGGTAGAATGTATCAATAGTTTATTCCTTTTTATTTTTCTTTTGTTTTGCTTGTCTTTTTATTGAAATATAATTGATTGTACATATCTGTGGGGTGCAAAGTTGCATATCAATACCTATGTGCAGTATGTCATGCTCAAATCAGTATAATTAGCATATTCAGTATTGAACAGTGTTATTGTTTTTCATGGCCCTTTATCAATTACTGCTTTGCCCCCCTCTCCCTCCCCTTTCTCCCCCTCTGGCAATGTCAGTTCTATTCTGTCCTTTTGAAAGTTCAATGTATTATGGTGATTTTTTTTATCTTTCTTTTTATTTGTTGTGGGTTTTTTTTTTTTTTGGTTTTTGGGAGAGGGGTTTGTGTTGTCTTTTTTTAGCTCCCACTTATGAGTGATGACTTGTGGTATTTCTCTTTCTGTGCCTGGTTTATTTCACTTACCATAATTTTCTCTAAGTTCATGTTACTGTGAATGGTAGAATTTCATTCCTTTTTGTGGCAGAGTAGTATTCCATTATGTAAATATACCACATTTTTCTTATCCAGTCATCAATAGACATTTAGGTTGGTTCCAACTTTTGGCTAGTGCTGCGGTAAACATGGGAGTCCGGGTATCCTTTGACTTGATGATTTCCATTCCTTTTTATATACCCAGCAATGGAATTGCTGGATCGTATGGCAGTTCTATCTGTAGTTGTTTGAGGAAACTCCATACCATTTTCCATAATGGCTGCACCAATTTATAGTCCCATCAGCAGTATAGGAGGGTTGCCCTTTCTCAGCATTCTTGCCAGTATTTGTTATTCTCTGTCTTTTTGATAATAGCCATCTAACTGGGACGAGATGATATTTCATTGTAGTTTTGATTTGCATTTCCCTGATGCTTGGTGATGTTGAGCATTTTTTCATGTGTCTCTTGACCATTTGTATATTTTCCTTTGAGACATGTCTATTTAGTTCCTTTGCCCATTTTTTATTTGGGTTGTGTTTTTTACCTTTAAGTTGTTTGAGTTCCCTGTGTGTTGTGGATATTAATCCTTTATTGGATACATAGTTTGCAAATATTTTCTCCCACACTGTAATTTATCTGTTTGCTCTGTTGATTGTTTATTTTGCTGTGTAGAAGCTTTTTAGTTTGATGTGACCCCATTTGTTTATTTTTCCTTTTGTTTCCTGTGCTTTAGGATCATATTTATAAAATCTTTGCCTAGTCCTATTTCCTGAAGTGTTTCCCCTATGTTTTTTTGTAGGAGTTTTATAGTTTCAGATCTTATATTTAAGTCTTTAATCCATTTTTGAGTTGATTTTGGCATATGGTGAGAGGTACAGATCTAATTTCATTCTTCTACATATGGACGTCTAGTTTTCCCATCACCATTTATCAAAGAGGCAATGTTTTCCCCAGTGTATGTTCTTGTTGCCTTTGTTAAAGATTGGTTGGCTGTAAGTATGTGGTTTGATTTCTGGGTTCTCTCTTCTCTGGCATTGGTCCAAGTGTCTGTTTGTAACCCAGTACCACGCTGTTTTTGGTTACTGTAGCTTTGTAGTGTAATTTGAAGTCAGTTAGTGTTACACCTCCAGCTTTATTTTTTTTTGCTCAAGATTGCTTTGGCTATTCGTGGTCTTTTGTTTTTCCATATGAATGTCAAGATTGGTTTTCCTGTTTCTATGAAGAATGTTATTGGTATTTTGATGGGGATTGCATTAAATCTGTAGATCGCTTTGAGTACTATGGACGATTTCGCAATGTTAATTCTTCCAATCCAAGTGAGTGGAATGTCTTTCCATCTTTTGTGTCCTCTTTAATTTTTTCAACAGTGATTTGTAGTTCTCATTGTAGAGATCTTTTACTCCTTGGTTAAATTTATTCCTCGGTATTTTGTATTTTGGGTGACTATTGTAAGTGGGCTAGCTTTCTTGATTTTTTTTTCCTGCTAGTTTGTTGCAATATTAAAACTCTAATTATTTTTGCTTGTTTATTTTGTATCCTGCAACTTTACTGAAATTGTTTGCCAGCTCTACATGTTTTTTGGTAGAGTCTTAAGGTTTTTCTCTATATATGCTCATGTCATCTGCAGACAGGGACAATTTGACTTCATCTTTTCTGAGCTGGATGCTCTTTATTTCTTTCTCTTGCCTGATTGTTCTGTCTTGTCCTTCCAATACTACGTTAAATAGGAGTGGTGAGAATGGGCATCCTTGTTGTATCCTTGTTCTTAAGGGAAAGCTGAAAGCAATGAGATTGAATTCAGGATGATATAGTCAAAGAGTTTGTTGTATTTGGCTTTTATTGTGTTGAGATACTTTCCTTTGCTGAGAGTTTTATCATGAAGTGTTTTATCATGAAGCCATGTTGAATTTTGTCAAATGCTTTGTCTTCATCTATTGTGGTAATAATATGGTTTTGTCATTGATTTTGTTGATGTGGTGTATCACATTTATTGACTTGCAGATGTTGAACCATTCTTGCATCACTGGGATGAATCCCACTTGATTGTAGTGTATTCTTTTTGGGGGGGATGTGTTGCTGTATTCTGTTTGCTAATATTTTATTGAGGATTTTTATGCCTATGTTCATCAGAGATTTTGGCCTGTAGTTTCTTTTTTTGTTGTATCTTTGGTTTTGGAATCAGGATGATGCTGGCTTCATAGAATGAGTTTGGGAGAATGACATGTTTTAATTTTTGGAATAATTTGAGCAGAATTGGTAATAATTTCTCTTTAAAGCTTTGGTAGAATTCAGCAGAAAAGCCATCAGGTCCTGGGCTTTTCTTTGTTGGGATGCTGCTGATTACTGTTTCAATCTCATAGCTTGTTATTGGTCTGTTCATGTCTTCTGTGTCTTCTTGTTTAATCTTGGTAGTTTGTATGTGTCCAGAAATTCATCCATTTCCTCCAGATTTTCAAATTTGTTGGCGTATAGTTGTTTATAATAGTCTCTAACGATTCTTTCTATTTCTGTTGTATTGGTTGTAACATCTCCTTTTTCATTTCTGATTTTTGTTATTTGGGCCTTCTCTCTTCTTTTTTTAGTTAGCTAAGCTAATGGTTTGTCTATTTTATTTATCTTCCAAAAAAACAAACTTTTTGTTTCATTGATCTTTTGTATCTTTTTTGGGGTCTCTATTTCATTTAGTTCTTTTCTGATATCAATTATTTCTTTTTATCTACTAATTTTGAGATAGGATTGCTTGTCTTTTTCTAGTTCTTCAAGGTATAATGTTAGTTTGTTAATATGAAATCTCTGTTCTTTTGAGGTAAATCTTTATTGCAATATTTCACTCTTAGTACTGCTTTCGTTGTATCCCACAGGTTTTGGTAGGATGTGTCTCTATTTTCATCAGTTTCAAGACATTTTTTGGTTTTGTGTTTTATTTCTTCATAGACCCCTATGTCATTCAGGAGTGTGATATTTAATTTCTGTGTATTTTTTATAGTTTCCAGAGTTTTGATTTTTATTTATTTCTAGTTTTAATCAGTTGTGGTCTGAAAAGATACTTGAAATGATTTCAGTTTTTTAAAATGTGTTGAGGCTTGATTTGTGACCTAACATGTGGTCTATCTTGGAGAATGTTTTATGTGCTGATGAGAATAATGTATATTCTGTGATTGTTGGATGAAATGTTCTGTAGATATCAACCAAGTCCATTTGGTCTAAAGTGTGGCTTAAATCCTGTGTTTCTCAGTTGGTTTGTTGCCAGGATGGTCTTTCTAATGTTGAGAAAGGGGTGTTCAGGTTCCCAACTATTATCATATTGAGGTCTATCTCTCTTTCTTTCAGTCTAATAGTGTTTGCTTTATATATCTGGGTGATCCGGTGTTGGGTGCATATATATACTTACGATTGTTATCTCTTCTTGCTGGATAGATCCCTTTATCATTATATAATGACCTTCTTTGTTTCTTTTTATGGTTTTTGATTTAAGGCCTATTTCATCCACTATAAGAATAACTACTACTACTTGTTTTTTTATTTCCATTTGCATGGCATATCTTTTTCCATCCCTTCACTATTAGTCTGTGTGTGTTTCTGCAGGTGAGGTGAGCATCTTGCAGGGAGCATGTCGTTGGGTCTAACTTTTTAATCCAATCAGTCTATGTCTTTCGAGTGGAGAATTTAATCCATTTACATTTATTGTAGTTATTGAAATATATTATCTTACTCCTTATCTTTAATTGCTTTTCTTATGTTTGATTTAAATACCTTTTTTTCCTTTCTTTCCCTTTTATTATTTGTCCTTGGTGTTCATTGGTTTCTTGAGGCGGTAGAGTATAGTTTCTTTCTCTTTCTCACTTGCATATCTGCTCTACCAATGGTGTTTGTTCTTTCTCATGTATTAATGGTAGTGATTGTCATTGATTTGTTTCCAGGTTCAGGACTCCCTTAAGGATTTCTTTTTTTTTTTTTTTTTTTTTTTTTTTTTTTTTTTTTTCCG